GAGTCTGTTGGAAGATCTTACCTCTTCAGTTTGCTGAAGATGAGAAGTTATCGCTTGTTTGGCCCAGTCCCTGGTTCTTTGGCACTGTGCCACAGTATTTTCTATGGCTCTTAGTCAGTCTCAGTTGTGGAATACCAGGACCAACAGCTGTTTACAACAATTATGTCAATTTTGTCTACAGTGGTACCAATAGCATCAAACACAACCTAGAAAACAACAAACTGAGCTAACCATTAATTTGCAACTTTTAACCATATGAAGTACATTTTTGGTTATATAGCAAAATGTAAAAACAAATGAGGTAATTATATGTAACATATAAGTCTGTAATGTGTCAATTTTGCCCTCAGGGTTAAAATTAAAATGGATGAAGGAGAAAATAGGGAAGTGGAAGAAGCGAAAAAGATTAGAAAAAAGGTTGGAGGACAAAGGGAGGTCACATCAACTTGGGAAAACTAGTGCAGAAGACTGAAGAAAAAAAGAGATGGAAGAGGTAAAAGGAAAGAACAGAACAGAGAGCTGAGAAACCACTTTCATACTCATAAAAATAATGAAGGGAAGGAGGGGAAGAATGAAAAAGAAAAAAAAAAAAGAAAAATAGTCCATTTCTAGAATTCTCTCTGGTTTCACTAGTAAACAGCCTGGGGAAACAGAATCCCAAATCATGCCAATCTGTCCCAGCAAGCCAGCAGTAGTGACAGGGTAGTGGATAATCTCTGCAGGCCTGCTCTAGGACCATACTAGTTGCTGTAGTCCAAGCAATTTCCACAGTTCTGCACAGCTGGGAGCTGCTGGAGGAAGCTGGCAGCAGTTCTGGGTTCTAAGCTCAGCTGGCTTGTCTACAAAATGGTTCCCAGCCAATCACTCTCTCCCCATAGGAGGACTGAGTCCTCTGTACTCATTGCCAGCTAGTGCAGTCCTTCACTCTTTCCCAGAACTTGCAACTCATCCCTCCCTTCTCCTGTCTCCCCTTTCCTCTGTGCTCTGTGGTTTCCCCTTCCCTGAATGCTGCCCCTCACACACTTGGATCACCTTCAGCCTTCAACAATGCTGGTACCCAGAAACACTGAGAAGCTGTTCATCTCTTATAAATGTCTTCTCTCATAATATTCCTTTGCATTCTTTTTTCTGAGACCCGGTCTCACCATGTAGTTCAGGATGGCCTTGAACTCACTTTTGTAGCCCAGGCTGGCCTCAAACTCATGACAATCCTCTTGCCTCAGCTTTCCAAGTGCTGGGATTTCAGGCTTCTTTTGCTTTTTAAATTAAAATTAAATATTAATTAAATTAAATATTAATCTTCTAAAGGAGAAAAATATATATCAATCCCTCCCATTAGACAAACATAATCACTGTTAATATGGTTAATATTTTGTGATTTTATTTACACTGTTTTCCTTTTCTTCTTTTTCCTTTTTACAGTTTGAAACATTTACTCTCCCCATTCACATGTTAATTCACCTGTTAAAATCCCTAATACCATGTGATCACATTGAAGGTAGGGTTAAACCCAATCTATCTAATCTGATGATGGCCTAAGAAAAAACTGTCCATTCTGTTAATGAGGAAGTCAGTGGTTCCCAATGTCTTACCCCTAGGCCAAGTTTGTTGGAATTAATTGAGAACTTCTTATGAATGCAGATATTCAAGCTCAGTGTGGTGGCACATATCTGTCATCTGATTACTAGACTGAGACTGAGGCAAGAGGACTGAAGTTCGAGGCCAGCTTGATTTACATAGTGAAGCCCCATCTCAAACAACAACAACAAAAAAAAAAACAGATAAAAATTCTTGTTCTCACTTTTGAATTTCTGAATAAGAAAGTCAGGACTGAGTGCAACAATTTGTCTCTCTGTCTCTGTCACTCCTATCTCTTTGTCTTTCTCTGTCTCTCTCTCTCTCTGAAACATGGGATCTATGTGGTTCAGACTGGCCTTGAACTTATGGTGATTTTTCTGCTTCTTCTGCTTCAGTTGCTGGGATTACAGGCATGTGCCACCATGTCTGACCACCAATCTGTCTTTTAACAATACACCTAGGTAATTCTCTCAAAGGTAAGAATCACTGGTGTCTCAGTTACTTTTCTCTTGACACCCAAAAATAAAAAAGGAAATATTTATTCAGCTCACAGTTTGTAGAGGTTTCAGTCCATAACCTATTGGCTACAAGGCAAGACTGGAACACCACACAGATATTGCAGAAGAGAAACCGTCCATGACAGGCAGAAGCAAAACAAGCAAGAGATCCTAATACTTCTTTCTGCCTCTTTTATCTTATCCAGGCTACTCAGGGTGAGTAACAGTCACATCCTTAATCCTAGGGCCCTTGTGCCTAGCATTGCATCATGAATCAATTCTAGCATCAAACACTCCAGATACAGCCACTTCTGAAAAAGTCCCACATTTGCCACGTGAGGCTTTGGAGGACATCCAAACACAACTCATGGCAACTGATCTAAGAAATTTTTCCTGCTAAAAATCTCAGAGTCTGTTTCTTTTGAAGACTCTCTTATTCTCTTGGATGTTGACCTGCAAATCTTACATTCCACTAATCGCTAAAATTGTCCACTAATTTCTAATCTCTAACAGTGTTCTTGGTCTTTGTGCCCAAGGGAAGACTTCTCAACAGATGTGTGTTTTGAGACATAGAGAAACTTTTTTAACAACTCCCATTGTTCCCTGGTCCCAGTAGTAATCAACCTAGGTCTTTTCCTGAGCCCTGTCCAATGGTTTTCCCCAAAGATATGCTTTCTTCCTCCAGGGTACTGCCTGAACCTGGTACCCACATCAGGTAGGGACAGGGGCTGGAAAGCTGTAACTACAGGTGAGGTCTCCAGGAAGATGTAGGATCTGAAGCTTCATTCTGGACTGGAGAAAGGTGAGAGGACAGAGTTTGCTTACCTCACATAAATCAGCTGTAAGAGGGATCCAGCAACATCTGCTAGGGCGGTGGAAATAATAATCTAGTGACACACTTGATGGGTAAGTCTGAGTATGAGGAGGACCTGGGAAGTACTTACTGTAGCGGGACCTGACACTGAAACAAGTACTCCAGATTAGATATAAAAACAGCCATGAAGATAGCTAGTTCTGGGATTCAAAGGGCAGATGCTTAGAGCAAAGAATAAAAGGATGTGAAAAATCACTTCAAAACTGTCCATGAAGTGTCATAATTACCTGCTAATACTTAAAGTTGGTAATTATTTTTTTGGCAAGCATTTTTAAAGCATCTACTAAATCAGAGTTGCTGTCACTTATGCTGGGCCTACCATGTTACTAAATTCATAATGTCATTAAGAGTTAAATGCTAAGTGCTACAATGAAAGTGATTACACCTTAATTACTAGCATCCAGAAAAAAGAATTCTGTATGGGAGAAATGGGGAATGGAACTGGACAGAGGGTAATTTCTAAATGTTTCTAGGATGTCAAAGTAGCAAGAGGCACCAAAGAAACTGCAATTATTATTGAAGATATGGAAGTAATATTTATTAAAAAGGTATGTGGAGATAACATTTTTCAACCTTGTATGAAAAGTTAAGAGGAATTTTGTGCACATGTAGATGTGGTTTTCAATCCCAATTCTGATGTACAGAGTTTGAGCACTATTTGTACCAGGATTTGAACTCACAACCTCATGCTTCCCAGGCAGGTGCTATCCCACTGAGCTATATCCCTTTTACAAGAATTTCAGTTTTAACCTTTGGATACTACATAATCACTAAAGATGATGACAAAAAAAGAGGATTACAGTGGAAGCACATTGAGGGAAGGCTGGAAAGAGAAGGATTTACAATTGGGAACAGATTGGAACTAGTCAGATAAGAGAGGATGTGAAGATGGAGAAAATCCACGTCACCTTGTCCCTCTGTTTCTCTCTCTTTTCATCTGTCTTTCCAGTTAGAACGTTTCCCCAATACCAATGTTTCCATTTCCCCCTCCTTAGCCCATATTATTACCCCATTTCTCTTCCTTGTGATTTTCCTTTACTTCATCAATTTCTATCTTTTCTTCTCCCTTTAGACTCGGTAACAACTAATATTGCTGAGAGAGGCCCCTCCAAACAGTACCCAGCATTGATTTCTTAACTGAGTGAATTTCTCTCCCCACCTTCCTCTTGCCCATATGTACATATTGTGGAGCCCCACACCACAAACAAGCAAGACCTGCATTGGGGAAGTGGGCAGAAACTGTAACCAGAGGTTCCTCTGTAAGATTTTGCACATCCTATAACTACTCGGTCACCCAGGACCTCTTAAGTGCTAACTGTGCTTGGCATAAATAGATTGTGAAATCAAGACCTATGTCTAGAATCCCACAATTGAATTGAGGAGGGAAAATGGACAGTTTGATGGACAGTTTACTTTTATGATGCCAGCATTTCCCCTAGAACATTGTTACTATCTGCATATTGTCTCTAATAGAAAAGAAAATTCTGTGAACTCTTTAGTGTATTTAGTGTTTTACAAAAACGTAAAGGAGTTTTTGGAAGCAGAAAGATGCCTTTGGACTTTGAGTTATCACAGATGAGTGTGATTACTGTTTATTATTCCAGACATTGTTCTAGGAAGTTTATGTGTGTTGCTTCACCTAAGTGCACAGAAAATTCTGTGAAGGAATTCTTCTTATTGTCACCCACAGAAGTAGAAATTGAAATCCCCATAAAATCAGCAGGTTAAACATGAGCAAATCTCGAGGAAACAGAAGCCCTAAAACTGACTTCAGACCTGTGGGACTTTTGTCTTCCTATCACAATATTAGTCTTTGGAAGGAAGATTGAATGAATGTAGTTCTGGAGGGTGCTCAGCTACCTCATGAATGTGTATTCCAGCATCTACTTGTGAACTCTTCAAAGACAAGGCAGTGCCTGGTATCATGGTCCACCTTTAACGATGTTTAGCAAATAGACCTGAAGAGCTTCATCTGGGCCCCTTGGCACTAACAGGCACATAAAGCCTCTTTGCCTGCAATTCGTTTTCTCTATGTCTATGGAGAAGACCCCATGGAACCAGGGAACGTCACGCGGCTGTCAGAATTTGTCTTCCTAGGACTCTCACAGACTCAGGAACTCCAGCTTTTCCTGTTTCTACTGTTCTTGTCCGTCTACGTCACCACTGTGGTGGGAAATCTCCTCATCATAGTCACAGTGACCTCAGACTCCAGGCTCCACACACCCATGTACTTTCTGCTCCGAAACTTAGCTGTCATAGACCTCTGTTTCTCCTCAGTCACTGCCCCCAGAATGCTGGTGGACTTCCTGTCTGAGAAGAAGACCATCTCCTTCAGGGGCTGCATGGCCCAGCTCTTCTTCTTCCACTTCCTGGGAGGGGCCATGGTCTTCTTCCTCTCAGTGATGGCCTATGACCGCCTTGTTGCCATCTCCTGGCCCCTCCATTATGTCACCATCATGAACACTCGGCTCTGTATGGGACTCGTGGTGATGGCCTGGGCAGTGGGCTTTGTCCACTCCATTATTCAGCTGTCTCTAATGCTCCCATTACCCTTCTGTGGGCCCAATATCCTGGACAACTTCTACTGTGATGTCCCTCAAGTGCTGAGGCTTGCCTGCATGGATACTTCCCTCTTAGAGCTCCTCATGATCTTCAACAGTGGGATGCTGGATGTTATTTGGTTCTTTTTCCTTCTCATCTCCTATTTGGTCATCCTGGTGATGCTGAGGTCCCACCCTGGAGAAGCAAGGAAGAAGGCGGCTTCCACCTGTATCACCCATATCATTGTGGTGTCTATGGTCTTTGTCCCAAGCATCTACCTCTATGCTCGACCCTTCACCCCATTCTCCATGGACAAGGCAGTGTCCATCAGTCACACAGTCATGACCCCCATGCTCAACCCCATGATATACACCCTGAGAAACCAGGAGATGCAGGCAGCAGTGAAGAGATTAGCAATGTGTAGACTGGTTTGTAAAAGAGAGTGATTGCCCGTAGATGTGGTTTTGTAAATTTTTTTTGGCTTGTTCTCCATTTTCAAGTTGCATAGCAAGCTACTACATCTGCTCTTCTTATAGATTTTGAGTGTGTTAGGATGGTTAGCTGCACAATGGGTGGTTTTTCCCCCAGTGGGTGGATTTTGAACCTAAGAACCTACCCAGTATTTTTAGGTGAAAGAAGTGGGGTTTTTTTTTTTTTTTGGTCATTAAGGTTTGTGATAAAGCATTCTGACATTCCTGAAAAAAAGAGAATAATTTACTTTTCTCTCAACAATTCTACCTCCTATGTTCCTTACCAATTGACAGACAATTTTCTTTGATAATGCCTGCATTTCCTCTAGAGAATTTCTACTTTCTATATATTTCCTCTCCTCTTGGCATTTCCTTTCAGCCTGAGTCTGGAGTATTAAAGAGAACACAAGATTTGTAGTCTTGGTTCTTAATTGGGAGCTGTGTCCTTTCATTTGTCCATTTGGTGGACTTGGATGAGCCACTTAACATCCCTGGGTTGCATGGCTTTTTCTTCTCTCCTCACACATATTAAAAAATAGTGCCAATCACAATAATACCATAGAGTTTCTGTAAGATCCAAGTTTTTTAAATATGTGGGAAAGTATTTTATAAAACATAGAACCTATGTAAGGATTGTTATTTCCCTTGACATTTACTTTGCTATCAAAATTTTGGAAGAAACGCAGATTTTCATTCCCACGTGATGGCAGGTGGCATGGAGAGGGTGGAGGCTGAACTCCTGAAGGCCATGAAACATGTCCGAGGTTGAAGCTAGCTCACAGACAGTGAGTACAGATTCAGGGCCATGTGTTGGAGTCTATTTCCCACTCTCCCTTCACCCGTCTGTGTTTTCAGACTCAAGACTTCTTGCAAAAAAGAATCAAAAGATCCATTGATTTGATATTTCTCTCTCTCTCTCTCTCTCCCTCTCTTTCACTTCCTATGATGGATTTTTTCCTTAATACAAATGAGCTCATGGTCAACTCCTTTGGTTCCATTCAGAGCTATTTCCAAGATGGACACAAAGACTGTCAGAGGAATGTAGAGCCATTGGAAGATCTAAGATATAAACAGAGGACAAACAGACGCTTGGGTCCTTAATCTGTTACTCTTTAAATACATGATTGGTGTTCTTCTGGGATAGTCAGATAGACTTAAAAGCTGCTTTTGGGAAAAACAAAAAGCGAAAGAACAGTAATGCTCACCTGGGCCTGCAGACGCCTTATCGGGAACTAAAAGCAGAACACACTTCATGTTAATTTTGTATTTGTCTCTTTTACTCATTATCCCTGCTGAGCTCTGTATATAGGCATCTCCATTTAGGGAGCATCTGTCTAAAAGCTGATGCACAGGGCTGGTTATCCAAAAGTTTATAGAACCCATTTCACCTCCTTTGAAGACTGATGACACTGGGATAAGAGATTTCTAGGGACATGGAATGACCAATGAATCTCCAGAAGTCTTCAGTTTTCCTTAAACTTATAGTCATCTTGGATATCAGCAGAGCCTCCACAAAACTGATCTTGCCCTAAATACAAACGATCATCTCATGAAGACTAGATTAAGTGATAAGGACCTTTCCTGAAGGTGGCTTGCAAATCCAGAACTGATATCATGGTCACCCAGACTCTATCCCACTCCAATATCTTAAAAGCTGGTCTTTTCTGTTTGTTTTCTATTAGTGTGTGATTGTAGTAGATACTAATTACACTCATTGTGGGCAGTAGGTGCAAGTATATAATGTATCTTAATTATTTTATTCCCCTTTTCCTCCTTTCTCATTTCTATTTAAGCCTCTCCAGAGTGGTGAACGTGAAGCTCCTTCAGTTTAAGTTCCTCCCATTTCCTCTCACTTTCTAGCTCTGTTGAAAAAAACCAGCCTAGGGGCTGGGGATTTAGCTCAGCGGCATAAGCACCTGCCTTGCAAGCAGGCAGTCGTGAGTTCGATCCCTGGTACCGATAAAAACGAAAAAGACAAAAAACAAAACAAAACCAGCCTATGCCTTTGTGCGGCCCATCCTGAAATACTCTCACACAAGGCCAAGGTAGGAACCAGGGATGTAGCTCAGCAGTCTAAGTGCCTGGCTAGCACAAGGTCATGAGTTCGATCTCCGGTACAAAAAAAAACAACCAAGGCCACGGTAGAAGGGAGGTGGGGGAGGTGGGGTGCTTGCCCTCAGCTGACCACCACTCCACCCTGGACCTTCCCACCTGTCAAATGCTCATCTGAAAGCCCTCCTGGCTCCTGAACCTTTCTCTCTTTGGTGACTTGGTTAGGACATCAGAGAGTCAAGTACTTCCTCAAGTTCACACAAGCAGGAGTAGTGCTAGACTCCCAGGGTGGCTCTCTAAAGCCCAGGCTGAGTTTACTCCACCTTTACTACAGGCAGAGGACTCAGAGCGGTCCCTCTCAGGAGATTCCAGGCTCTGGAGCACAAACATACACATGGATACAGACACATGTGCACCCACGTGGCTTTGGCACAGGGAGAGCCCACCCCTTCTTCTTGAACATCTTTTGTTCTCATCTTGAGGACATGGCCCTGGGCCCCTTCCTAGGAACCCTCGGGAAAGATGTGGTCCTACCAGGCCCTGAGCCCTGCTCTGCTGCAGCTGTCTTGATAGAGGCAGTTGGAGCAGAGCAGATAAAGAGATCCAATCGGGCCTGTGGCCGGTTGAAAGTGGTTGCAGAAACTTGAGGTTTCAGGCTAGCAAGGGGCTACAGGGGAAGGTTTTGGGGTATAGTTGCTGGAAGGTATCTGAGAAAGAAGTCTCCACTGCAACCACTGATCCAGGGCTGGCCGGGCCCAGGGAGAAAAATGCCGCAGTCAAAGACACCATCCTGACAGGCATAAACCCACTCATGTTCAGCCCCTGCCAGGCACTGTGTTAGGCAATGAAGGCCGAGTGATCAACAAAATAGGAGCACATAACTCTTTTGTGTGGTGTGCAGACTGGCAGAGAGCTGGAGCGTGGTCAAATCCAACCAGAGACACACACGGTTAGTTGTGATGACAATAAGGTCTAGGAAAGGACCAGCAATACCGTGGGCAGGAAGACCCAGCCACAGGAATCCTGGCTGGCAAGGGGCAGCATCTCCCCCTCCAGGTGGAAAAGTAGGTGTGAGTTCCTGGTATTAAACAGGATACCACACTTTTCTGAGCGCTGGGTTTGAGCTCAACCCTGGGCCAGGTGCTGGTCACACAAGATCAGGCGTGGAGTCCTAGGGACAGACATAGTAACAGCGCTTCTTCAGTGCAATACCGCATGTGCCGTGGGAAGCGTCAGCATAGGGTGCCCTGCAGGCAAAGGCGGGGGCATCTAACTGAGATGGTATTTAGGGGTGAACGGAAAGGCTCCTAGAGGAGGTGACAGCTCAACTCCAGTGAGAAGATAAGTCAGTCAGGTGAGGGACACGTACAAGGGCATGGAGATGGCACATCAGAAAACTCCAGGGAGGGCTGGAGACGCGATCCAGTGCTAGGATACTTGCCTAGCACACACATAGTCTGTGTACAATTCCCGGCACCCAGAACCAAAAACACACAGACAAACCCAGCGAAATCAAATCAGAGTGTGATGGGTGGGGAGGAAGAGTGAGAGAGGAGACTGAAGAGGCCCTGCAGGGTCTGGGAAGCTGGGGAAGAATCTAGGACTCCCTGGCTGCTGCTGCTTAAGGGACACTGTGCACAGACTCTGACTCTGTTACTTTTCTCATTGCTGACAAAATACTTGACACTCAAAGTTAGCGGAGGAAAGGTGTATTTAGCTCACAGTTTGCAGTCCAAATTCAGCTGGGTTAGAAGGCCATCACAGCAGAGAAACCAGCAAGCTGGCAGGTGAGAGCACAGTAGCCCTCTTTCTGTCCCTCTTATTTTATGCAGGCTGCTCTTTTTAGGGCAGATATAGCGCTCACACCCTTAATCCTAGCCAGAACTATGTCAAACTAATCTGTGGACTGATGTAGTCGTCACAACCCTTAATCCCAGCACACTCTAGATCCAGCCCCCCCTGAAAAGTACCCTCTGTGACTATTTCTGAGGCTTTGGGGGAATATCTAGACCCAAACCATAACAGACTTCATAGAGGAAACCTGCCCACTAGGACCTTGCATGGCCATCTGCTCCCAAGAGAGCATGGAAGCAGCCCCTTCCCAGCTCTAGGGGCGCCAAGCCCAGCGGTCACCTCCTCCCTCTCCCCAGGGACCCACAGTGTAGATGGTAGAAGGACTCAAAAGCCTCATGACTTACTATTTAACAATTAAGAAGTGGTGAAACACCAACACCAAGGACAGAGTAAGGGAAACTCTCTTCTCACGCAGAAAATAAGGGGAGAACAGTCTTACGAGGGATTCAGACTGCTTAGGAGACCACACAGCAGCAATTCTAAGCAGTATCAGAAGCCGTCTTATGTTGGTTTATATGCTAAACGGTCACTGTAGTTACCCTTGAGCTGTAGGAAAACATGTAAAACTTTAAGTTAGTGCATTTTAATTTCTTGTTCTTTACTAAACACGGTACCCTATGTGGAAGTTAATTAAGAAAATTCCCAGTAATTCAGTGGATCCTTTAGCCGTGGGCCTTCACTTTATGTAAGTGCTGATGGCTCAAAATGAGCTGAGCAGGCTTTCGTGTAATACCTTGTCTTTAAACAATGTCCTTGCCTGCAAGCAGTTGACTTGAGATAAATGATGGTAGCATGGTGACTGTATTTTCCAGGCAGGCGCCGTGCTGCTGAACCATATCCCCAGCCCGACATGCATGGTGATTGTAAAGACAGAGACAGAACCTTATTTGTTCAGTTCTGCCTGTGCATATGACTACTGGAGTTTTGTGTTTAAAATTAAAAGAAACAAGTGCAAACTGTGCCAACTGTGAAGTACTTTTAAATGTCAATTTTATTTCACATATGAAATACCTTACTGAATTTCATTCATATCTTGAAGGTTGAACTTACTCTTCTTTTTAAAGTTTTAGTTGTTCATTTTAAAACAAAAGAGCAAATCAGGAAAACAGAGACTGCTATTATGTTAACTATTAAACCACCAATATATGGGTTATTTAAAACATGTTCATGCTTTTTTTTTTTTTGAGACAGAGTTATGCTGTCTCATTCAGGCCAGTTTTGAATTCACTATGCAGCCAAAGCTGGCCTTAAACTCAGAGCAATCTTAAAGCCTCAGCCTCCCAAGTGCTGGGATTATAGGTGTGTACCACCACGCCCAGCCTCATTCATGCAATTTAAAAAGTATTAATCAATTATTTTCCTATTGTATAGTAATATTTTATGTTTATTTCTTTATTGGTATGATTACATATACAAAGTTCAATAAAAAAGAACTTTCATACATTTCTGGTCATTAGTATCACTTGTTTCAATGAGTATCATTAAAAGTGCTTTGGTATGTAGAGGAGAGGAACACCAAAAAGTGGTTTGAGCCAGGCCAGGAAGTCCACACCTGCAGTAACCCCAGCTACTCATGAGACTAAGGCAGGGGGATTCAAGCTTGCAGTCAGCCTATATTACATAGCAAGACAATGTGTTAAAGAGTGGGCCTGGAAAATGCAGCTCTGCGACAGAGCACTTGCCAAGTTGGTGTGAGGTCCCGGGTTTCACCCCAGTACTGGAAGAAAAAGTCAGATACTCTTGATTGCCATAAGCAAAATTTAGCCCTAGGGAAAACCTCTCCAGTGAGGTCCCAGGGGACTTGAGAAAAAAGTCCATAGGAAAAGGAAACTGGAAACGCCTCCCTCGCTCTCACCTTCTTCTGGTTCCCGTGTGCTTTTGCCCTCACCAGAGACATCAAAGGCACACGGTCTGAGAGGACGCCACCCATTGGGCCTTGCTCCCTAGTGAGGGCCATGGCACATCCCCAGGTTGGACAGGGCCCACTTGTCTTTTCCCTTGATTTTCAGTGTCCTGGCCCCACAGAACTAGAGGCCCCACAGTCGTCTTTGGAAGCCACCTGAACCCCTGCCCAGCAGTGCAGATGCGTGGGCCCTGCCCTAGCAGCGCCCCAGGGCCTGACCGCCAGTCTGGCTGTGAGAGCTGTTCTTTGACCCCTTCCCATTATTTCCCTCTCACCACCATCCCAAGCAATCAGGAGGCCCAGATCCTTAAGATGTGGACCAACATGGCAGGGAGGGATGGGTCTAGAGCCCAGGGCTCTGTCTCAGGCTGTGGTCCCTGTAACCCATGGCAGCCCCCAGCTGTGGACTTGAAGAAGCAGGACAGCAGTGCTCACTGAGAGCAAGGACCCTGGAAAGAGGGTGACCTGCAGGCCACGTGTACTTCAGGTGGCTCCGAGCTGGAGCATCCAGCCTCTGGAGGCCAGGGTAGACCAAACACTATTAAGGAGCATGTGGTCTTAAAAAGTCTCACTTAAAAAATCTCTCTCTGTCATGAGGGCCGCCACCCTACCGTACTGGGACTGAGCCCCAGGGGAGGTGGGATTCACGTCACACAGTGGGTCAGCGAGGAACTCGGTGCACTTTCACCACCTACAGAGTGACTTTCCTTCCAGCCCCCTTGTCGCAGAGCAGGGGCCTCTGCTGAAGACAAGAGATAAGATCAGGTGGCTCAGCCATCAACGGGAGCTTGTGAAAGGGTTGCCAAAGCAAAGTGTTAACTGTAGAGCGCAACTGTCAGGACTGAAGGCGTTGCTGAGGGAGGAGGGGCAGAGGAGAACGCTGGGCAGGCCGAGGGGGATGGGGGCAGACAGGATGACGGGAACACCCTGCGGGGCTCTGAAGCAGCCCTGTCTGCACTGAGGGAGGAAAGGACACGTGATCAGAAGAGGAGTAGAATAGGTAGGGTGTGGGCACAGCGGGGGCAGCTGCAGGGTGGAGTGTGTGCCTTCCAGACAGGCCGGGATGGAGCCTCTGAGCAGTCCTGGGGAGGACGGGCAGGAGGAGACAGGTGTAAGAAAAGAGGGCCTGGGCAAGATGGATTCTACACGGAAGATGTGGAAGCGGGGCTCCCCAGAATAGCTGGATCAAAACCCAGCTCAGTCTGAGCCCGCCACAGCAAGTGACCTCCAGCCACGCACAGAGGACCTCTGACTTCACCACCTCAGAATTGAGCTGTCACTGCTGTGTGCTGAGGACACATTGAGGCACATAAAGCCCTGCGGGACCTCCACTGTCAGGATTTGCTGAGTGTTTCACCAGTGAGATATTTCACTGCCAGGATCTGCCTCAGCCATCCCTTCATCTGTCCTTGGCACCTCAGAAAGAGCTAAGGAGGTCAGGGGAACAGGCAAACCATTGACCATAGATTATTCATTCACTTGACAAACATTTACTAAGCACCCACTGAATCAAGCTCTTAGGCTGGGCACTGGAAAATACAATACTAAGGCAGACGCAGTTTCTGAAAGAAGAGCCTTTCCAATTGATTGTCTGACCCAACTCTAGCTTTGGGGATGTGGACATGGAGGCCCAGCCCTGTAGCTAGTGAGGGAGGAGGCCAAACCCAATCCTGTTCCAGACACACTGCTCCCCAGCCATCCCCAAGTACTCATCAGGTGGCACCTGTGCCCTGGGTGCTGCTTTGAGCCCTGGGAGAAACATATCCATGGCGAACAGGTTGGGGAGAGGATGAATGTCAGGGGCTTCCAGGGACCAGGCTTGCAGGGGCAAGGTGCTTCCATCTCTCAACTCCCCTAAAGACCACAGGGCTGCTGCAGAGCTCCGCCTCAGGGGCTGGGCTTCTGGGCCCAGGGCAGCCCTCCCCTCCAGGAGGGGATATAAAAGTCTCTTCCCAGCTACTTCCAGAGAGAAGCAGGAAGAGGTGAGTGGTCAGCTGGGGACCCTCTAGGGGGAAGGTTTTAGGGGACCCACCTGTGGAATTGGAAGTCTCTCGCAGAGATGCAGCTGCTGATGGTCCTGGCAGGAGCCCTGGCCACATTCATCCTCACCCAGCTCTGTGAGGGCACTATCCCAGGTAACAGACCCTTGGATAGCCAAGGAGGCGGGTCAACCCGAGGGAATGGAAGTGTAGGGAAATACTTGGACCTGGAGGTCTGTGGCTACTTTGGATTCTGAGACCCTACCCCTTTAAACAGCCTCCCCTGGGGCAGTGGAGACCTCGGTTCTTCAGGACTGCCTAGCAGAGGCCAAGCTGCTGGTGGATACTGCTTACAACCAGACCCAGAAGAGGTAGGTCAGGCCTGGGAGCCAGTGAGGGGATGGGCCCCAACCAATGTCACTTCACCCAACACCAACTCCTGGGCATCATGGGGGAGAAGGGAGTCTCTGCAACCACAGTCTGTCCACTGTGTCCTGACTGTCCACTCCCTGCACTGGGGCTCTGCAGTGTGAGTCCACTCTTCCATCAGTCCTCCCTCCTCCTCCTCTGGTAGCATCAAGCAGCGCCTTCGCAGTGGCTCCGCTAGCCCCATGGACCTTCTGTCCTTCTTCAAGCAACCAGTTGCAGCCACCAGGACTGTGGTTCAGGCTGCTGATTACATGCATGTGGCCATAGGGCTACTGGAAGAGAAGTTGCAGCCCCAGGGATCCAGAGCCTTCAATGTCACTGGTACTACACTCTCTACTTGGCCTGGGAGAGGAAGGAAGCCAGGAGTGGGAGGTGGTGTGCACAGCCATGGGATGTTGGGAAAAGAGAGGGTAACAAGACAGTAAGGGTTGGAAAGGGCCAGTCCAGAAAGGAGCTAAGGTCCTGCACTCAGACCTGTCCATCTGCCCCTGCAGATGTGCTAACGGAACCCCAGCTGCGCCTACTGTCCCAGGCCAGCGGCTGTGCTTTCCAGGGCCAGGCTGAGAAGTGCAGCAACAAGTATCGCACCATCACAGGGAGATGCAACAACAAGTGGGTGCTGGGCTTGCCCCGCCCAGGGACCCTGCTTCCCTCCCTAGTCCTTCTTCCAGGCCCTATTCCCTGCTAACTCCCACTCATGTCTGCTTCAGGAAGAGACCATGGCTGGGGGCCTCCAACCAGGCCCTGGCTCGCTGGCTGCCTGCAGAGTATGAGGATGGGCGGTCGCTCCCCTATGGTTGGACCCCTGGCAAGAAGCGCAACGGCTTCCTCCTTCCTCTTGTGAGTTGGGGAAAGGGAGCTGCCGGATGCTTGATTTTCTTCAAATACAGAGAGTAAAACACAGCCTGGAGGCAGCCAGGCAGATTCACCCCAAGCTCTCCCACCAACTGAGTCAGTTTCCTTACCTACACATGGCTCCTAGAGCTGGCATGAATAGCAAACTAAGTACTCGGTCTAAATAGCCACATAGGACATGATCTGTTAACGCTAGCTATTACAGCACTCGGGTTTTTTTTTTTTGGTTGGTTGGCTGGTTTTCTGAGAGAATTACCATCAAAGTATCTTGCTAAATATAGAGAACTATACATCTTTTTTAAAGAACTATACATCTTAATGTGGCTATACCTATTGATCTATATGATTTCACGTTGAACAATTTTCTATTTATGTGCCAATATAACAATTGATCATCTACCCACCCAGCAATATCGACTTGTTACTTTTCTTCTGTTGCTTCTTCCATCTATCCAGCTTGCTATTTGTTATTCATCACCTTGCAACCAGTCCATGATTTCTGGATCATTTCTATGATCTGTTAAGTCTACACATTAATCTATCAATTTGATCTATTTTCTTCTCTGGAAGAGCTGGTGGGGCCCGAGTCAATCATTCCCAGTTCCTCTCCTCTTTACTGCTGGGATCCTCAGGAGCCAGGCCAAGACCATCCTTCTAGGAATGACAGCCACAGTAGGAGCATCTCCATGGAGCATCTCCATGGGAATAGAGGGGAACGCAAAAGAGAGGAGACTCCGGCTACTCCAGCAGGGGGAGCTGTTTCTCCTCCCTCCCAAGTCTTGGGTTGGCTCTAGCACCAACCCAAGGCCCAGGCCCATTGCTGACCTTATTTCTCCAACAGGTCCGGGCTGTTTCCAACCAGATTGTGCGTTTCCCCAGAGAGAAACTGACCTCTGACCATGGCCGGTCCCTCATGTTCATGCAGTGGGGTCAGTTCATTGACCATGACCTGGACTTTGCCCCAGAATCTCCAGCCAGAGTGGCCTTCACTGCAAGTGTGGACTGTGAGAAGACCTGTGCCCAGCTGCCCCCCTGCTTCCCTATCAAGGTACCCTCAACCAGCCAGCCAGACTACTGGGGTGGCTTCTAGCCTAGGCAGAGTGTAACAGGTCAGGGCAGGGGAGACTGAGGCCTATCTTGAGGACCCATCTGTAGAATGGGGGTGTAATCCAGAGGCCCAGAATGCAGCTGTGCACAGACCCTCCTGCTGTGCATATTGAAAAAAGGAACAGATCTGCGAGAGGCTCAGGTGAACTTCATGGAGGGGACGCCATGGAGACAGGCCGTGAACTATGGTTCTGATTCCCAGAGCGGAAGCTCCTGGGCCCCTACTTTTGGAAGCCTTTAGGATCCCTTACTCTATCTCTCCTTCTGGAGGAGGCCCAAGGTCCTTGAAGCTCTTACCAACCTCTGGGGTCAGGCCGTGAGCAGAGTCCTGACCTGCTAGAAACGAGGATGGTGTGGGACTGGGCAAGACATGACAGAATCCAGGGAGTAGAGGCTCTGCTGGAGGTACAGGGGGAACACACACCACCATACATCCACTTACCCACAACAGCCAGGCCACACTCAGGAGCGATGGTGTGTAAGGGTCCCTGGCCGGCCCCTTCTTGTTGCCACCTCACCCCTTCCTCAAGCAGTGGCACAGGCGCCCTCCTCTGCAGAGCTTCCAGGCCTTTCTAGTGTACCATGAGCATTTGGCTTTTATATCAAGCACAGCAAATGCTATGTCACCTGGAGTGACTTAGCTCTGTGTCATTGTCTGTCTGTCCCGAATTGGCAGCATCCCTCCACCTGCACTGGGTTCATGACCTTCACAGTCTCCAAAGCATCTGCAAAGAAAGGAGCTTAGGGAATGTTTGTCCAACTGTGTCCCCTTTCAGAAATTGTTTCCCCACCTGTAAGATGAGGCTCTAGATGGTCTCAAATGCCTCATCAGCTTCTAATCTTTTGTGACTCTATGATACAAAATGCTAAGGGTTGAGCAGCACAAGTCCAGGTGAGTCAAGGTGGGCTTCCTCGACGGGAAGCTTTGGAGGGAGTGGGGATGGCCAAAGGGAGTGAGCCTGCTGTTGAGGGGCTCCAGAGCCAATGACTCCTCTTCTGCTTCAGATCCCACCTAACGACCCCCGCATCAAGAACCAGCGTGACTGCATCCCCTTCTTCCGCTCGGCACCATCATGCCCCCAACACAAGACCAAGGTCCGCAACCAGATCAACGCGCTCACCTCCTTCGTGGATGCCAGCATGGTGTACGGCAGCGAGGTCTCTCTTGCCCTCCAGCTCCGCAACCGGACCAACTACCTGGGGCTGCTGGCCATCAACCAGCACTTCCAAGACAATGGCCGGGCCCTGCTGCCCTTTGCCAATATTCATGATGACCCTTGTCTCCTCACTAGCCGCTCTGCACGCATCCCCTGCTTCCTAGCAGGTCAGAACTGAGGGATGCTAGGATGGGGAAGCCCTAGGGGGATGTGATGAGGGGACGTGGTTTGGGACACCATAGGCATCAATCTGGGCATAGTCATCAGAGAACTCGTAAGTTGCAAGGAATCCCTTTGGTAATCCCCTGTGCGTGGCCAGAGATCCCTGCTTGACTATCTGCAGTGTCGAGAGTCTGCTCCCCAGCCCCAGGCTGAAAGGTTGGCTGTAAGAATCAGACACTTATTTGGATTCAGTATCTTAAGACACACTGCTAGAACCTGAGAGGCTGTCTCTCCTTACCCAGAAATGGCCGCTTTAATTATCTGAAAGCAGCTTTGCTTATCCCTAGGTTTTTGCTTCTCTAGGCTCACTTTTCTAACCACCTCCAACTCCAGCTAGGCAGTGTTACCTTGTACCTTCCCTTGGATACATAACATAAACTCTCCTTGGTCTTTTGCCTCTGTGCATGTGGATATGATGATAATGGTAATCACTTCCAATTATTTAAGATATCTGAGTGGGCCATTCCTAAACCTCAGTGCAGCCCTGAAAGACAGGAATTGCTATCACCCTTACTTTACAAACAAACTGAGACTCAGAGGATAAGTGGCGTGTGTGAAGAGCACAGAGTTTCAGATGGAAGGTCCCACACAGGGACAAAGCTAGTGTAGCTCTGGGGCCTCTGCTCTGTCAGCTCCGGCTCTTGCTTTCCTTGAGGCAAGCAGTTCCGGCCTTGCTCTGTCAGGATGAGACACCAGGAAGCCCCAGGAAGAGCAGCCAGTACGCTCAGTATCCAGAAGCGTGGTCTAAACACGACCCTGTGAGAAGGGCGCGCTGAGAAGCCGGAAGTTGAAACTTGCTTTCCTTGCCTGTCTGTTGGAGAGGGTCTGGGTACAGAAGCAGGGTTCTGTTCATCCTTCCCTCTTGATCTCCTTTCCCCTGGCTCCTAGGGGGAGGGTAATATGAACCACATCCAAAGATGGGAAGGTTCAGCCCTCGGTAGAGAGTATGCAGTTGGCCCCGCCTCCCAAAATCAAGTTCCCAGAGTTGTCCAGATGCCGCCCCCACCACTGCTCCCGGTCATCTTGTAGCGTCCTCAGGCAAATATCTCCCTGCTGCACCTATAACTTCCTCCAGCCTCTCAGGTGCTTGAGGCCCCGCTGCACTCCCCATCCTGGGCTGCAACACTGGGAGGGGGGCAGTCAGGGCGTCTCATGGCACAGCCAAGGACATGGAGGTGCAGGGAGGGCAGCGGGCCCCGGGCCTCAGTCTGCCCCTTGTAGAAAGACAGTCTAGGTAGGGCTGTGGCAACTTGGAACTTGGAATTTTCAAGGTGACTCCCGGTCAAGTGAAACCCCTAAACTGGCAGCCCTGCACACCCTCTTTATGCGAGAACACAACCGGCTGGCCACCGAGCTGAAACGCCTGAATCCCCACTGGAGTGGAGACAAGCTGTATAATGAAGCTCGGAAGATCCTGGGGGCCATGGTCCAGGTAAGAAGCCCTGGGTCCCAGCATCACCCAGAAGCCAACCCGATGTGGGAAGCACTTGGAGGAGAGGCTCACACCTTCCTTAACACATGCTTGGGGATGTGCTCCAGTCAACTCCAGTCAGCTGGGTCTGAGTAACCAGGGGGTTAGCCCTGCCACCATTCTGCTGTTACCTGACTCACTGTGGCCCTGCCCATAACATTCAGCTTCTCTGGGGTTCCGTATCTCTCCCTCAATGGGAAGTTAACATTGCCACATTTGATGTAACAGTGAAGATTCCCTCAGTCTGAACGGACCTTTGAAAGCATGAGTTTCTGTCTGAAGCATGTGTACTGCCATTGCCTCCAGTAGCCTTCCATGTCTCCTCCTCAGATCATCACCTACCGAGACTTTCTGCCCCTGGTTCTGGGCAAGGAGCGGGCCAGAAGAACCCTGGGACCCTATCAGGGGTATTCCTCCAACGTGGACCCGCGTGTGGCCAACGTCTTCACCCTGGCCTTCCGCTTCGGCCACACCATGCTGCAGCCCTTCATGTTCCGCTTGGACAGCCAGTACCGGGCCTCAGCACCCAACTCCCACGTCCCACTCAGCTCCACTTTCTTTGCCAGCTGGCGAATCGTGTTAGAAGGTGATGGGGCTTTCAGAAGCAAAGGGGATGTGGTGGGGAGCACTCTCTCCCCACAGAGCGCCCCACTTATGGCTCGGATGTCACACTGCTGCTGTCTCCTCAGTGCAAGGGAGGTGGGAAGGGCATGACCTTTCAGGCTGGGCCTCCCTGCCCTGCAGAGAGGATTCCTGAGAGGAGCAGAGACCAGTGTTAGACTGGCTCCTTGGAGACTCTGAAGTCTTCCTCCTTTTTTAAGAAGTAGTGAATCCCAGCACTCAGGAGGCTGAGGCAGGGGGACTGCTGAGTTTGAGGCCAGTCCGGGCTACGAAGTAAGTTCAAGGCCAGCCTGAACTGCCTAATGAGACCTTGTCTCCAAAAGATTAAAAAAAAAAAAAAAAAAAGAAGGAGTGAGGTGATCCCTTCCCCATGGCTTCAGCTCCCTCATGTCCAATCTGGCTTCTGTGTCAAGACACACATTAGAGATGATAAGCAGCTCATTTGCCCAGCTCTGAGCTACCTCAGCCTCATGAGCTAACACAAGGGCCTTCTAGAGGCTGGTACAATCCATGCTGCTGTCATTCCCTGACACCAGGTGGCATCGACCCCATCCTCCGAGGCCTCATGGCCACCCCTGCCAAGCTGAACCGTCAAGATTCCATGCTGGTGGATGAGCTCCGGGATCGCCTATTTCAGCAAGTGAAAAGGATCGGGCTGGACCTGGCAGCCCTCAATATGCAACGCAGCCGGGACCACGGCCTTCCAGGTGAGGGGGTGCCCCCTTCTCCTGCCAGGCTCTGCTGAGACAGGGCTGCTCCAGGGGGTTCTGCAGAGCCTCCCTTCTGACCGGATGTGTGAAGGTCCAGAGTTGGCGCCCCAAAGCATTCTGGGAGCCCTTGGTTGCTATCTTGTCACTTCTCTACCACCGCTGTAGGGTCTCCAGTTTTAGGTTCACCACAGAGCCAGAACTTGGGCATGGCAGCCAAACAGAGGAGATCAGAAATTTCCAAATAGAGAAAAGCAGTTGACTGGAAAGGCAGTCCATTCCCAGCCTCTATAGAAAGTTCTGGCGGGGGTGGGGGGTGAAAGCTATAGGCCTGCAAAAGCTGGCACGTTGCTGAGAAGTCCAAGGTGCCTTAGAGGCAAGTAGCTAGTGGAGTCAAAGTAAGGCTGCCAACCCAGGAAAGAAAAAATAGGGCGGGGGTTTCTTCCAGTTATGCAGCCATCTCCACTCTTGATTGCCCATAGCATATTACATGGCTTTGATCCTGGTAGGTTCCTTCCTTCCTTCGTTCCTTCTTTCCTTTGAGACAAGCTCTCACTAAGTCACTAAGTTGCACGGGTGTGGCTTATGCTCCTGCCTCAGTCTCCCAGAGTGCCAGGATGACAAGGATTCACCACATGCCTCGTGACCACTAATCTATGTTCTATGTATCTCCCTATTCTAGACCCCTCATATAAATGGAACCACACTGTGTGAGGTCCTTTCCTGTGCAGATGAGTCTTTGTTAGTTTCTTCACTCATCTGCTTGCTTACTCACTCATTGTATAATCATGATTCAGAGCTTCAATTATTCTGGGTTACTGCGTCTAACTAATGCACATGAGCTCACTAACAGTACCATGAAATGTCAACTTCAAAGTTTTGGTTACAATGGCTTTTCACATTAGGACACACTTCACAGCCCGATACACATAACACTTGGTTGTCCACATTTAGAGCAGAGCAAATATTTGTACCAGTGGAGATCTTCTTGTTTGGTCCAGTGTTCACTATCCACAAATACCAGATCGCTGTCTAAAATGAACGCACATCTGCACTCTGGAGGACTTAGGGAGAGAGGCAGAAGAAGCCACTGAGAGGTGAGGAGGACTGAAGCTGCTTCTGTCTCCTGCAGGGTACAATGCGTGGAGGCGCTTCTGTGGCCTTTCCCAGCCTCGGAACTTGGCACAGCTTAGCCAAGTGCTGAAAAATCACTGTTTGGCAAGGAAGTTCCTGACACTTTATGGGACACCTGACAACATTGACATCTGGGTTGGGGCCATTGCTGAGCCTCTTTTACCAGGGGCCCGTGTAGGGCCTCTTTTGGCTTGTCTCTTTGAGAACCAGTTCAGAAGAGCCCGAGATGGAGACAGGTAAGTCTCCACTGTAAAAGACTTCAGTACCAAAGCAGAGCAGAAAACCACTAGCATTTCAAGCATCCTTGGGGAGAAGAGGTTTAGATTTGTTTCAGGTAGGAGCCTCTGGGTCTGAGACAGAGACACTGACACAAGCAAGGCTGACATTGCCTGAGCTGCAGTCGCTTTAAACCTCAAAGAGACTTGTCACCCTCACTGTTCTGGGCTGGCAGATCCCATAGGACAGAAAAGGATTAATCTCCTTTCCCTCCATTAATCTTGTGGTCTGAAACCTGACTCCTTATTTGGATGCAGTATTTGCTCAGTTTCAAATCCACCCTGGCCATTTAAATTACTGTGCATTTAACACTGGGCAATTTACTTAACCACTTGAAACTATTTCTTCATTTATAAAATGGAAAGAATACCTATCTTGGACTAAGTTTCTGGGAACTGAATTAGACACTGTATGCATACAAGTGCTTGTAAAGTAATTCCTTCCCAACATTCTCCCATATCTTTTGACCTCCTCGTAGGTTCTGGTGGGAGAAACAGGGTGTCTTCACCAAGAGACAGCGTAAGGCCCTGAAACAGATTTCCTTGTCTCGAATCGTGTGTGATAATACTGGTATCACCACTGTTGCGAGGGACATCTTCAAGGCCAATACCTACCCCTCGGGCTTTGTGAACTGCAACTGTATTCCCAAGTTGAACCTATCAGCCTGGCAAGGCAAATGAGAGGTCTGCAGGTAAGCGGAGGAGTGGGCGGGGTCAGGCCTTTACATCCTTCCCTGGATGGATGACTTCTCTTAGGCTTCTAAGTAGAGACAATAAAACTGGTCACAGGGATGAGGGGCTCTTTCCTAGGGGGTTCCCAGTGTGTTAAATTCTGAGCTGATAGTCAATCCCAAAGCCTAGAACTGTGGGGAAGAACTATGAAGTGTCCAGCTAACATTACAACTTGGTCATGGTGCCCAACAGTTTCATTCCCGGATATCCCATAAGTCTCTCGCTTATCCATTGCTGCTGTTTCCACAGGAGTCTGTGCCAAGCCCCAACCCCGGGAAACCAGGGAAAGGGGAAGATCATGAGGATGCCTGCACTACTAGAGCAACTATTTCCTGCTGGTACTTTTGCTGACTGCAACTCACTGCTGGCTTCATTGGCTGAGAGGAAAAGCTGGGACTCCTAACAGCAATGGACCCACTCGCCTCGGGAGCCTCTTAAAGATTAGGTTGTGAATTAGCACCAGAGGCAAGGACTAGTGAGCCAAGCCACGAGGCCTTAAGTTTCCAGCAAGAGTCAACTGAAGGGCTTCCAGCACTTTCTTCTATTCCCCACCACCACCACGAGAAGGCCACATAGTCCAAGTCTCGCCACCCCACAATCCTGAGCCTGCAGACTGGGTGCATGCTCTTTCTACCAATAAAGCACAGCTGAGGGCAGGGGATGCTGTGTCTATGTCAGGTTAGGGAACAGGCAGCCTCACACCCATGCTTTGCCCCAGATATTGTGGAGCAGCACTGCTATGACACGAGCTGGCATTCTATGTCTCTTCTGGGAGCTGCACTAAGACAGTCAAAGAAACACCGTGGGGGAGGGAAAGACAGAAGAGAAGAAGGGTAGAGGTGTTAGGGGCCCACCATGAAGAGGTACCCTAGACAGGTCAGCAATCTGAGCAGAGAAACAGTCCGCAGAAATAGATGTGCAAAAAACACAGAAAAAGATACTGTACAGCTAGCAAAAAGAATTGAGAATTACCTTCACCTTCATTTATTCCAGAAATAAGTTTTCTGTCAAATTCAGCCAGCACTAAGCAGCAGAACAAACTTGAGTCTTGTATTTCTCATGTTCTTTTCTTAGAAAAAGACAAGCTCCTTTTTTTTACTTTTTGAGACAAGGTTTCACTACGCAGTTTAGACTGGCCTTGAACTCACTTTATAGCCCAGGCTGGCCTCAAACTCACAGTAATCCTCCTGCCTCAGCCTCCCAAGCACTGGGATTACAAGTGTGTACCACCATGCCCAGCCGCAAGTTCGATTTTTAAAGGCTGTGAAACAGGCAGCTTGCTACAACTGAGACTGAGACAAGCCAGAAGAGAGGCTGCATTGAGGACAGGTAAATGAGGAGTTCACCTGTGAAAACAGTTTCAGACCAAAAGTTGTGCTTTGCTATGCAACTCAGTAGAGTAGCTAAAATACGAAGAGGGGCCATGGTGGGGGCCATAGGGTCTGTGGCTTCATTCCCACATAGCAGGAAGAAGACCTTGCTGAAAGTCCAGCAGCAGGGCCAGTCTGGGAATTCCCAGCACTCCTGGTCCTCAGCAGGCCAATGTGGTCTTTGAGAGGAAGACGAAGAGCCCTGACATCCCTCGTCTTGCCCTCCTGTACCACAGGCCAGGGCAAAAGAGCTAGGAAGCCGAGGTTCTCAAGGGGCTCATTAGGTCTTGTGGGAGGCTGTCTCGGGCCTCCTGCATGCGGCGCCGGGCTCGATGGAAGGCCTCTGCAAGGGAAGAAGATGCTGCTGTGTAATCAGCTGCTATAATGCAGAGAGGAATGTGGCCGTGGGTGGCAGGCTGGGCAGGGGGAGCCTACCTAGCACATTGTGAACGGAACTCTGCTGGCTAAATCCTTCCAAACGGTCCAACACACTACGCATCCTTTTCCTCAGGGAGCTCGATTCCATGAAGGCCCTGTGGGGAAGCCCATCACATGGTCAAGGCTGTTCTTTAGCCCTTAGAGTTGAGGAGCCCGAGACGAGGGCCGGGTCAACTCACCGGGACTGCTGCAGACAGTGCAGGCGGAAGGTGACGCTGCCTGTGGTCTCTGTGCGGAGTCCAAATCGGCTGAGGCGTTCCCCCTGGGGCGTCAGTGGACAGCGTCAGTTTCTGCTGTCTCTGGACCCCAGGTGGTGCCTTATGCCATCGTCACTGGCCGTGTTGTCACTCTTATTCCCATTCTTGAGGAGGAGCAGTTTTCCTGGGCATACCTCATTCATCATCCAGACCCCATCACTGCAAAGCTCTAGGCTTCCAACTATAACTCAGGGAAATTGCCACCTCATCTAAGAACAAGCAGGCTACATGCATCCCACAAATCCTCTGCATCTGACTGCTAAGGCCTTCAGTAAACGACGAAGAGGCCAGTCATTCAGATGGGCACCAGGGGAAATCACTAAGTGTACTATTTTCCAGAGACCTCCTCGGATAGTAGTGTGGCTATCTGTACCTGGTTCAAAACGTGGCTATGACTTCCAGCTGAAGAAAATGACTTAGGGACACAAAGTAGTTAACAACTAAACGAGAGGCCTCAACCCAGAACCTACTCTTGACAAAACAAAACAGAAACAAAGGTCCCGGCCTGAAGTTGCCCTGGAGACAGGTCACCTTGAAGGTTCCTGGTATTCGCACATAGGTCAGGTCCTCCAGCTCCAGAGAGCCACCAATGAAGAACCTCCTCAGTTCAGCCACAGGGCCAAGCTCCATGGGCCTCCATGTGGACACTGTCAGGGTATGAGAGCCTGGAAGGGAAGGGGAGAACAGGGCTGGAGCTACAAAAGGCACATGGCCCCCACCGACTCCTCATCCTGGGGAAGGTAATCCTGGTGGTAAATAACTCTTGTTTGGAAATTGGTCATACAGAAATTTAAATCCCAGTTCTTCCAGGGATCACCTGTATGCCCAGGACAAGTTTTCCAATGTTCCTGAGCCTCCTTCTCCTCAACCTATGTAATGGAAAAATCACCCGCACCTATATCTCCCAGGGTGGTTGAAGAATTAGATGAGAAGCATTTAGCACAATGCCAGGCACTCAGTAAGAGACTGCTGCTTTTATTTTAAAGTGAATGTTGATTCAATCAGTCCACATATGCCAAGAACCTAATTATCTATCATGCATCTTCTCTCGAAAGGTCATAAATCCAATCAGAGGAGCAAAAGTCATATAACACAGACCATCAGTTTGCCTGTTGCACCAAGTCAACCCCAATATCACACCTAATTTTCATTATTTGCCTCTAATGCAGCAAGGAGAAATTCCTCAAAAGAACAAGGCACCTTAAGTTAAATGCTTCTAATTCCAAATTATCACTGCTTCTCATCAGAAGCACCCAAACCTGGAACGTTGGTCTTGTTCCCAGGATATGTGGGTCATTTGAAGGGCAGGGACGGGAGTTTACCTGGAGTGGCAGGCAGCACCACAGCCCCATAGCCTTCCACACGGTACCTCTGCCAGAAGTCCAGGGAGCGGACCTCACAGTAGAGCACAGGCCACTCCGGGAGGGCATCTGGGAACAAGGGAGAGAAGCAGCCTTGGCCAACACAGGCCACAAGCGGAGGAGAACGGAGGCCTAGGATCAGCTGCTGCCCTGCTTACCATCTGATTCATCTTCATGGAGGAAGAATGCTTCAAATGTGAACGGGTAGGAGAAGTAAGCTACCTTGTCCTGAAAAAGACAAGTGCCATTTTATACTCAATGTCAGAAGGTGGGCAAGGCCTCACTTGGAATTTTTTATCCCTGTGGCTAATGACAGGGTCACTTTCACACAGGAAAAATAAAAATTCCTATGCTGGTAGGAAACAGGATGTACCAAAGCGCCAAACACAAACTACGGCCATTCTCAGAAACACTGAAGGCGGCCCCCGGCCCCAGCAGCCCACACGGTAGGCTCAGGCCCCGGTTGGGCTCCTTCCCAGAGTGCACAGCTATTGACCTGATAAAGCTGCAAGTGCCACCCCAGGCACAGATTCTCATTCTCCTCCAGGGAACCCTGATTCTCCATACCATGCCCAGGGACTTCGTGGCACAGGTCTGGGTTACTCCTGAGAGCTGGTGGAATTCTGGGCTCGACCAGTCTGAAAGCCAAATACCAAATACAGTAAGTTCACCTGGGAGAGGACCAAGTTGCGGAGAAAAAGATGAAGTTACTTCCTTCTTTTCTTCCTCCATTCATTCACTCACTCATACAATGAGCCATGCATTTATCAGTTCCTGAGTGTCTGCTTCTAGATAAAATGACCTGGGGATATCTTGGTGGCTGGATATGAAAGATTTCTATCTCCCATGAAACTCTCATCCTGGATTGCACATGGAAGCAGAGACACATAAAACCAGTAAGAGATTGTCAGGTGGCAGTGAGTGTTATACTAAACACAAAACAAGATGAAGGGACCCTGCCTTGGAGGCTCATTCAGTGTGGGCCTCTTAAGAAATGACACAAGCTGAGACCTAAACTGAAGAAGAACCAGCCAAGCTAAGATATGGAAGAAAAACGTCTACAAATGGTCCTGTAAAGGCCTAAGGTAGGAATGACACTGGCAATGTCAAGATCAGAAAGAATAACTGGAAAGCTGTAGGGGAGAGAGAAGCAGAAACCAGCTCACTCAGGGTGTGGGGTTTAGAGCTCAACTAAGTGTGGGGTGAAGTTGTGGGGGTTTTAAGCAAAACTGCATAGCATTCTTAACAGCATAATGTGGTTATGTGTGTGTGGCAAAGAAGCCACCATTGGGGAGCAAGACAGGAAAAGTCAGAAACTTATTGCATTTGCCTAGGCAAGAGATGATGGCCTCCCTGGCTACAGGGAGCTAGAGGAAGCAAGCAGTTGTGGTTCTCTCCTAAGGTTTTGGCATCAGCAACTGTGTGGACGATACCGCCATTTTGCTAGAAAGGGGAAGGTTTGAAGGAGGAGGCTCATGTTGTCTGTCATGTTAAGCAGCAATGGCACAGAGCTAAATGGATATAAATCTGAAGTCAGGAGAGAGGCAAAGCCTAGGTAGGAATCTCGGAGTCTGAGATACACAGATGAAACTGAAGCCATGGGAGGGCTGTGACTGCCTATGAAGGCTGCAAGAAGACAGTAACAGGGGCCTAGGCTTGGCCTCAGAAACACCTCAAGGTCAACAGAAAGGAAGGAATCTGCTAAGGAGCCTGAGCGTCCCCCTGGGAGATGGAGGAGAGGCCTGTGGGGCCAGAAGCAAGAGAAGTTAAGAAAAGTGAGCTGTGCCATGGGCTTCAGAGGCCAAGTAAGGTGAAGGCAAAGAAGTCACCACTGGGCGTAGCAATGTGAAAGCCATTTACGTCCTTGAAAAGAACATTACTGGCTTCAGTTGAGAAGCAGGGGTGGGAGCCTGGCTGAAGCTTCCAGAACTGCTGAATGGGGATAAAAAGAGAGACCTCAGAATATTACTTACTAGCAGCTGGCAATTCCACAAAGAAACGGACATAGAGGTTGTCATACTCATAGCCTTGGGCTGAAACTAAAAGAAAAAACGTATTACTTTAGCTTATTCTCCTAACCCTTAGTACCCAGCCCAGTCTTGAGGAGCCCACGTGCTCTGGACACAAGTCATCTGTGAGTTTGGAATGCTCCATTTCCGGGTCAAAGTCATCCTAAGTTGCCCATACTGCAGACAGACCAAGCTGTGGGGTAACCCGGGGTGTGGTGGGTTACTCACTACTTACTTCATCGGACCCTTGCCCACGCCTGCAGGGATCTGTCTGGCACGACACTTACCTACCTCTCCATTTACAAAGAGCCGGAGGGCACCCGGGGCCGTCTAAGGTAGAGGAATGGGGACACATCAGGGGGCTTGGAGGGAATCAGCGGTTCTCCTCAGCCCCACCCCCAGAGCTTCGGAAGATCTGACATTGGATGTGGACCCTGGGCCACACTGCTGCCCCTTCTCCCCACCCTGGCTCTTCAGCACAGGACTGCTTCCTTCGTTTCTAAAATTGATAAGGGAAAAGTACACAATTTAAATGG